ACGCTCCGCTCGGTTTACTAGCTTCTTCGGATTCCACGGCTTTCCGTTTGTCTTGGAGGGCGCCTGCTGCATTTGTAGTACACCCAAACGCACAATATGCCGTGAAGGATGAAAACGATACACCCACAAATGTCTCAACAAAAGCCACTTCCGAAGCCATAGCAGACGAAGTTCAAAGCCGAATTTGCACCAATAATTTTCAAATGACATCGATTGAAACAAATCGCAAAAAATGAGGGCAGATGAGGGGTTTTTCAGTCTACGCGTATAGGCAAAGAAGTGCAACATTTTGACGTTAAAGTTTTCATTTCGGCTGCAGGGTTTCGCAGAAAAATACATTGTGCGTCTAGCCGCTGGCATTCTACTACAAGTCAACGCGTGACCGAAACCACGTCTCAAACTCATGAATTAAAGCAATATATAGCTGCTCAGGATTTTCCTACAAAATTAGTATAATCAAAGCGGTGTAAACGATTTGCGCGGTAAGGATAACGGAAAATATAGATATCTTGTAAAACTGAAATAGAGTTCAATTCCACCAGTCCAAGAAAGGGGCGGTCCATTTGAATTGTTAACCGGGAAGGCAGTCATTCAAGATTGGAGGCAATTTTAAATATATATGAAATTGCAACAGACAGTACAAAAGGTCGGCCATTGATTTGAAGTTCTGGCAAAAACTCAAGGGGTCCTGTAGGCACATGTAACGTGCTCGTCGTGAATGTTTTTTCTTTTTATAGGAGGATAACTTGCGACTTATGCTACAACCAGGGCAAGCTGGGGCCGGTTGAACGCGCGTCCTTCAAATTTACTTCCGTTGATTCCATGTTGCTGTTTTCTATGTTGTTATATAGTATGAGTTTCAGCATAGAGCATGAATGCCTTTCGATTGAGGGCATGCCGTGGTAGTGAAAAATGTCAACCGTGCAACCCGCACATACTCATGATGAGTAGACGCGGAAAGGCGAACGTGGTAGAGAAGGATGGTGGATTTTGGGGGCTGCACAACCGTCCGGTGCTGAAACAACGCCACATAAAAAAGACTCACAACCGCAGTTTTCATGGATTTACAAGGCGCATTAAACTCGGTTGCATGGGTCGTTCCCATACACCTTTGCCAGTCAAAGAATTCTCCGGGAGTTAATGAAAATAACAGGTTCTTTGAGTTCTCAGACTTCTGCACGTTGGAGACTATACAAAGGATTTTCTAAGAAATTCCGTAGACAACTTGGTGTCCGTCAGGGGTGCTTTCTGTCCCCATCCCAATTTAATCTCGTGTTCGATGGGATAGTGAAACGAAAGCTGGAGGGTGTTCGAAACCACCATCTTCAAATGACCTCTGATGGAAACATTACCTGTCTTCTTCTAAAGGGACGAGCAGGTAGAGGTTTTTTAGATGAGCCAATCAAAGTCATCCGGTCCTTTAGTATGCACTTTCTATCAACGAAGTTTACGATAATGCTCGTTAATATAGTCACTGAACACGCCATTCGAAAGCCGGAGGAGGCACTCGAGATTATGGAAGTTGTGTAAGCTCTGGTTTTAGTACATGTGGATGGAATCAGTGCAAGAATATACCATGCTCGTGTTCACTAATTTGAGACAGCTATAGCGTAAAAGCGGTTCATCCTTGAATCTTGTGAGACGTACATATCAGGCTACAATACGGAGTGTTTCGCACTGCGTATTCTGAAACGTCGCTTGCCGAAATGAGCACTGTTTTCCGTGCCCGATTTAGTGTCAAAAGCAGAGAAATGGCCAACCACCGACCTAACAGGGGAGAATAAATGAGATTACAAAATTTGTGGGTGCTGTCGGTGCAATTCGCCTTTCTGGGTGGAGACCGCCTCATATCCATAGATCCCGGTTTGAGGTTTGCTAGATGTTACTGCTAATTGATACTGGTGTCGTTCCTGTCATAAAATTTTGTCCACATTACCTGCCATGATTTCGTTGCGTGGAATCACTGAATATCGACGTCGAGTCATTGGTGTACACGGCTTCTTTGGTATCGCGAATGAGTCTGATTAGGCAAGTAGTATGTACGTTTTAGTAACAGTTTAGACTCCAGCTTCGGTACGATCACGTATCGGGAATCTTTTACAACGGATTTCATTAAGCACTCGGTGAGCCAGCAACTAAAAATTCGCTCAATTATCTGTTTCCAATAATATTGCGGAAGATGCTCACCAGTCATAATCGATTTCAATTCTTCCAGATACCTTGTCAAGGAAGACTGGCTACCCCGTCACGAAGAGACTGGACCTTAACGTGGTGTGACGGTTTGCGCATCTCAGCAATCCATTGAGCTACACTGGAGAGTATCCCGCGACACTCAGACAGTCTCTCACACCGGGTTGGTCAGTAGTTGAAGGTCTGACGAACACAGTCTCCTGACCCTCCAGGTTGGGGGTTGGAACATGTGGCGACTTGTTCCGTAGAAATGGTAATGCACTTGAATTTCCCGCCAAACACCGCTGCCTTGACGCTAGGCTTTTGAACCAAAGGTTTGGTTGAGGACCCTAATCGTCCTCCTGTCTAGGTGTGGGCTTCCTGACAGTAACCTAGTCCACGTACAATCATGAACTGCATACATACAAATACACTTATAAAAGAAAAGAGACAGAGAAGAGGACCTGGGGCTGGCCTACATCAGATAACCCCAGATTCCTGCAACTCAGTCGGAAAACCACGATAGAAACTGGCAGTATGAAAGCCTCATCGGTTAGGCGCCCCTCAAACTTTTTTTTCACAATATCTTTCATTTCCTTCTACAATGTTACATTCTGTTGACTTCTTGGTTTCCGCTACTCCGCATCGGACAACCTAAATCGGCACACGTAACACTTGGCCCAGGCATCTAAGGTTACAGTGTTTGAGTAAAGTACCGTCTGATTTACCCCCCCCCC